CCCTTGTGTCTCGGGAGATTTCCCACACGCTGCTAGTCTTGGCAAAGACAGAGCTTCTCTCCAGGGGACGCCAAATTATGTTCAGCAGAATTTGATTAAGCCGTATTTAAATGACCTCGGCGTGGGTAATCCACTTTGCAGTTGTTGATTGATCGTTCCGAGTACGTCAATTTTCACAACCTAACGCTACTAAGTTGCTTCAAAGCAGAATGCCTCCGTAAACTACAGCGTCCGCCCTGGCGCTAAGTTGCTACAACTGTTAATTGTCAAGAGCTGCCGGTTGTCGGGCGATCAAAATTTGCAAATATTTGGACGAGTTGTCTGCTGTGTTGAGAATTTTAAGCAATGAATAGTTTGCATATTTGGACACCGGGGTTCTCGCATGATTTCAATGACTCTTTATTGGCAATCGCGGAATCAATTGGAACGGAAGCATCAGAAGGTCTATTTTCCTGATAAAACTGAAGATCTTAGGTCATGTTTAAAAAAAATAATGCACATATGCATATGCATGTACATATGTGCTTAAGTAAGTGCGGGGGTGTCTTTGAAAATAAATGTTGTTTAAAAGAAACGAGTGGACATAATGAATGTTATAGTTCAAATTCAATAAAATACAGCAGTAAAAAAAAATTAATCAGAAAATAGCTGTAGGTATTGACACTAAAATGTAAAGAACTCTTTCCACGCCTTTTAGACTTATAAGGTATATAGGGCTAGACCTATATTTTATAGAGGAAACGGCATTTGGTGGGTGATGTGGTCAGCATCACGCCGGCGGCCTTTACCTCACAGGAGTATATGATACACATTCAAACCTGGGTCGACCTGTGAGCCGAGGTCATTTTTGAAAAAAATTCCTGCTCTCGCTAGGAACCGAACTCATGACTTTCCGATCCGCAGGCGAAAGTCTGTCCAGATGTTGACACTGTCATTTGTAAATCAGCAGATGACATTGCAATATATACTAGCTGTCGACTCATATACTGGTAAATTAGTTGTTGACACTAATCTTCGTGGATCATATGTGGACACAGACTATTGCAAATCAGCCTTAAGCACTACCACACTGTCATTATTGCTGGCGTTTAAGACTCTTGCAGCGTAGGCGAAAAGGGGCGAGGGGTGCAGAGGCGGCGTTAGCCTATGGATATAAGCCTATATAGCTAGTGCTGCAGGTAAGCATAGTTGTGTGTGTGTGTGTGCACCCCGACAGACAAAAATGCACAAGGATTTGAACCTGACTCTCGCGTATGACAACCCTGCGTTCGGTCAGCTGCTCCCCAGCCATAGTCACTGATATTTGTGAACCAACGGATATTATAAATCTAGCTGTGACGTCAGTATGTTAACACATTACTGCAGACACTCACTAACCTTTCGTCCCATGACGCGACGCAAGTTTTCGGTATTTCAAAGCCCCAGGCCGGCAGCTGTCGGGGGTCCTTATATAACCTAACATTTCAACGGAGTTTCTGGGATTTGCGCCCGGGTGATTTTCATCCGAGTGTTGACACTTTGTGTCACCGTATGTTTATCACCCGTTGTGCGGTCTTGGTGAGGTTAAACTATATACACACATATAGAGATACTGAAAAATGTAAAGCAGCAATGCATACTGGCATTTGTTATGTATCTGTTGACATTTTGATATTTGCCTAAAAGCGTGGGTAAACGTTACAACCGTGAAATACCCCGCAGTTTGGACATATAAATCATGGTTGAACCTAGTTTAAATGGATCAACATAATGGCACAAGTCTAGTAAGCCATAAGTGATCCGTTCTACTTCCAACTCAATCCCGAGTCCAAAAAACCTCAACGCAGTACAAGAGCTCTGTAGCACTGGCGAGGCCCCTGAAAATACTTTGGGTAGTATTTTAACTCAAAATTTCGCGCGGGCAGCGCCATTACTCGACTCTTTTTAATTTCCAACTGCCACCGGATTTTTTTTTTTTTTTTTTGCGTGCGCAACAATACACACGGGAGTTCGATCTTACTGCCCAGAGACCAGAGGAAATGCCTTAAAGTCCATGTGAAAAAATCCCAACCTTCACCGACGACTTCCACCCGGGACCTCGAGCACTCGGGGCGGACGCCATGCTCGGACACAACTCAGCACCCAAGGCTATAGGTGTTTTCTTGTGTTTCCTGTAATAGTGCACTGGAGCCCACATGGGGAATGGATATATCATCATCATGTAGCAGGCCTTTTGCAGAACGTCGCTCTCATCGCAGTCTGCCTGAATGAAACTCGGTCTCTCGTCAGCTCTCCCGCCTCATGCACTTCCATACTCGAGGAGTCACTAATATCCTGTGCCCATCTTCGAGTTGGTCGGCCCCTGCCCCTCCTTCCTGGTACCATGCCTTTTGCTATAATTTTGTCCAATCCGTCGTGGCGCTTGATATGTCCAAACAAATTGAGCTTTCGAGACAGGATGCTGTTTATTAATGGATATATGTATATATATATATATATATATATATATATATATATATATATATATATATATATATATATATATATATATATATATATATATATATATATGCCCATAGGCGTGAAAAGGGTATGTTTATCTACACGTGCGAGAATGTTCTTATTTGAGTGTATTTACATGTGACTCGAATGGCCGACTAGAAGATAGAATATCTGTTCTAAATCTGACTGGAAATTTACATTATTTTAATGACAAGTATGTATTTAAAACACAGACGCAATTAAAACTAAGACAAGAATAGAGAGACATGCAGAGGAATTTGAAGAAAAAAATTAAAACATCACAATTATAAATAGCTAGCAGTTCAGTGGAAGTGTTAAAAGGAACGGAAGCCGGAAGTGAGGTATTTTTTATCGTAGTTGAAAGCCCTGTAGAACATGTATTAGCTTTTAAGGATTAAAAACTTTTGTTGAGAATAAATGAAAGGCCACGGACGTAATTAACGTACACGTAATGACCTCAACGTGTAGAGTAAAACTAAAGTTATTTGCGCATCCTTTACAGGACATTGCAGAACCAAACACAGCATTTTTTGGCTGTTGTGGTTTTACTAGGTAAATGTTCGTCCAGAATTTGCCATTGCTCCACTGGACGGTCGGCTGCTCGGTACCACTCTCAAAACCAACGTAAAGCGTAAGGAATGGAACGCAGTTGGGATCTAACCCAGTACCCTATCATTACGAAGTGCGTTCGCAACGTTTCAGTCACAGACAACATCAGAGTAAAATTAAAGACTTGAAAAAAAATGTATTCTTCTTATTTTTATCTTGCACCTCGATCTTGTATCTTGATCTGTGACAAGTTAGATGTTGTGAGGTCCCTTTGGGAACGGGTGAACGGTGCGAAGGCGCAGATAGATAATTACAGTCTGGATGGAATGGCTCTGCGAGGAGTTACCAGAGGATCCGGGCGACGCGCAAAACTCAGGAAAAGGATGAGACTGATATACAATCAGACGGTTACTGGTACCATCGGAATTGGAACTCTTCGCTTGCTGCTGAATATGGGAACTGAGCACATTGTGGGAGTGCCCCGAGTGCTGTGATGTCGATTCCTAATTCAACATTCAACAAATTGCACCGCTTCGATTGTTTAAAAATATATAATTTTCAAACTTTTCTGTACGTCTCAATCATTGGCACGTCGTAATGTTATAGTTTCTCTGATGTTAACTTTCCATATTATTTCTTTGCCTACTCCTTGGTCTACGCTCCTCGTCTCTTTCTAATGCAACCTTCCTTTAATACAGTTCCTTCACGTTGTGGCGACCGCCAAACAAATATTTTCCTTCATAACCTCAATTAATATGTGTTTTCCGATGTTCTTAGGCAAACCCATGAAAGGGTCATTCGACAAAAAAAAAAAAAAAAAGGTCGCGACCGGCATATTCAGAACTGCTGATATGGTTTGCACAGTGAGTCGCAAAACGTTTTCTTTAAGTATAAAATCTATTTTACTCACTGTCTCTGTATGAAGTTTCGAAATGGTATGTACCGACATTTTCTCTGGTGACTTCATGCCTGACTGTATATCTTCTGGTCACTCCTGCGGCTTGTTTCTGACATCGCATTTCCATGGTTACTAATTCGTCTTTTTCTTCGCTTTTACAGGTTGTAAACTCGGGTAAAACATTTTGGTTGTTCTTCCGCTTCTGGACTTGAGTCTTGTTCCAGAAAAAGTTTTGCGTGCACATCCGTTTTATATAACATTTTTTGTTAAATTTAAAGCAAACATCTAATCCTTTGCCTCACTGGCAGACGCACTACCACTCATGAGGAAACACTCATAATTAGTCAACTTGTACTACATGCGTGTTGGAGGGTTGAGTTGTGTTGAGTTGAGTTGAGTTAGGACTTGACATCACGGCACTTGGGGCATTCCCATGCGTGCTCCGTTTCATCTTCAGCAGCGAGCGCAGAGTTGCAATACTGATGGTACCGGTCAGAATCTGGTTATATGTCCGTCTTGCCTTTCCTCTGAGTGTAGTGAGCCGGCCAGACCCTCTGGTTACACCCAGGCGCCTCATTCTCTCCAGGCCATAATATTCTTCTTTCTCTACTGATTCCGTTGCTTTTTCCAACAGGGCTGCGTGTAAGAGGGCAGTGAATCTAATATGGTCCTGGAACCAATATGTGAAGGTTTCCATTGCCAGTTAAAACATGAGAACCACTGAAGACATGTAACGGAAGTTGAATTAAAGTAGAAGCAAACTAAAGGACCCCCTCCCCCCATCTCCCCTTCAGGCGTATTGGACATATATGGCTAGATCTAAATGTTAAAGATCGATTGGCACTCAATGGGTGATGTGGTCAGCATCAAGTTGGCCGCATTTACTTCCTTGGACTGTTCCATGTACCCATTTGAGGCTGAATCCACTGGGGAAAAAAAGAAAAAGACGGGCTCAGTCAGGCCCTGAACCCACAATGAATGCTGTAAACAGGTGTGAAATATAACATGGTACAGAAATATTACAACAGTCAACATTCAAGAATATTCTTACCTGAGAAAGGCCAAGATAAATGGACACTGTCTCTGATATGTAGAGAAACCTTCCATCACTGCCAAGGATAAACGCGAATCCATCAAGAGACTGCAAATATACATGCAATGAAGGATAAGGTATGAAAATATCAACAATAACCACAAAAACTATATATAGTGTGTAAATGTCAACATTCCAGATAAAGTCGGCACAGAACCAATTCTAAATTATATAGAAAGACAGCAAATCAAATGGTTTGCCCTCTTGGAGAGAATGTCTTCTGATGCTATACCATTCAAGGCAAATACCAGAAAAGGAGAGGGACGTAGGGCAAGAGGTAGACCAAGAACAGGATGGAAGAATAACATCAGATATATTCTACAGTACCACGTTTCTTGGTCGAAGCAGACAGAAACGCACGAAGCAGGACTTTATATCTCCCTCGACACCCGAAGCGATAAAAGAGGACGTACAGAAGAAGAAGAAGCAGAAGAAGAATAACAAAAGTACAGAGGGCAGTGCGAAAGAAAATCGCCCTTTCTAACATGTGATTTCCGAATATTTAAGCCTGGGTTGACCTTTAGCAGTGCCCTACTTATACAAATTTCCCTTTGCGTTGAAGAAAGTATCTGCGATTTGCCAGGTTAGTAACCCACAATGATGAGAAGCTTGAAGAGAAAAACAATCTAAAATCGAATATCCAAATATCGAATGGTTTGGTTTTGACATAATGAATGACAGTATAAGTCAAACTTACCAGGAGAAAATAATGTAACAATTTAACGCAAAGAACGATTCGAGGCTGCAAATATCAACATAATCGTGTGAAAATGTAATTAAAAATTCCAACTGCAAAATTCGCAACAACAGAATTGCAATATATATTTTAAAAACGCATTTATTTACTGATTGATTTTGAATTTTTTTTTTTTTTTTAGTTTACCATTTATAATATAATTTTTTTTTTTAAGTGTTTTGTATTGTCTATAGTGATGATATTGTGATTCCCCACATTTGCAATAGCCATGACGACAGGTGATCGGTTTCATGCGTTTAGATTATCGGTTGTTTTGTCTCCATGAACCGACACGGCAGCAGCAAGTCTCCAAGAGTCCCCACAAATTGTCCTGCATACCTCAACGGTGACAGAGTCGCACATTGGCTGGCCGGTAGACGACTTTTGGTAGCGTGCAATGCTAAGCTATTTTAAGTGGTGCGCTCAATTTGATTTTCTAGTTGCTTCTTCAATGCGCAAGTTTCTACCATTGCAAGCATCAAGATATTTGTTTTATTACTTCGCCTTTCTTGAAGTCATCCCAGAAAATGACTTTTTTTTTTCTTTGTTACTTTTCAAATGCACTTTAACTTTCGCTTTTTACTGCTATGAAAAGTTTCATAGTTTTTATAACTGTTTTTCGACTGCACTTATAGAAGTATTTAAGAATGTTTAATGTTGAAATAAAAATCAACTTCATAGCACTTGGGATGCTCCCTTTAGCGCTCCGTCCCCATCTTCTATAACAGGCAAAGAGTTCCAACTCCGATGGCACCAGTAACTGTCGGAGTGTGCATCCGTCTCACCTTAACCTTGAGTGTTAAGATTCCCTGGTAATTTCCGGCAGCGCCATTCTCCCCAGAAGGTAATGATCTATGTGTGCATTCGCACTATTCACTTGCTCCAAAAGGGCTCACACACACAACATCTAACTTGTCGTACGTCAATTCACCACCAGGCGGTACAGAACCGACCACTCTATCTGCCTGCTCGTTAGCAAACACAATAGCATTACTTGGAGAAAATATCCAAAGGACGCTAACTACACGGAAACTCTGATATGATGCTTGCCACTCTGCACGGAGGATGCCTATCTCCTCCTTTCTCCGCAAATTCTGTGAGTATTTAAGAAATTATGTCATACATGTTTATCTACCAAAGACCACAAAATCAGATTATGGAATCTCAAACTCCGTTAGTTTCGGCGCCATATTATTTGCGTAGTTGGATGGGGGAGGGGTGGATAAAATATATATTGCTCCCCTAATAAGAATGGCGTAAAAGGCGACTAATTAAAGATTGGCTTAAACAGAATATTTTGGGCCGAAAGGCGGAGACATCACAAATTAATTGTTAACTAAAGACAATTTAAGGACGAAAATAGAAAAAGAAGATGTCGCAATCATATGCATCCACAAAGCGTAAACATTTGACTCTGTGTCCACTAAAGAAATGAAGGATTGGAAGTGCAAAAAGCTAAACACCGATCGCCTTGTTAATGTGACTTACATCTGTGTTACGTATCTCCAGATGTTAGAGGGGAAAAAAAAACGTTTTTCTTTATACTTGTTTGATAAGAAGAACGTGTTTAAATGAAATAGTCTTCGTCTCTCCCCATCCCTTTCCTCCTTTCTCTTCTTCTTCAATATTTCCTCAAAATCCCTTTATTTTTCTATAGCATTCTTTTTCATGTCCTCTGCAGCTGCTTGTCGCTCGATGCGCGGTCTTTTGGCCAACGCTCACTCATATCCTCCTATTCAATTTACTAAATTGAGGAGAAGCAATTTTGTCCTGGCTCCCGCGAGGGATGGACGTGCGTGGAATGTTGAGCTCCTCCACGGGTCTCCCAGCTTGGCCGTCTCTTGTACGGTTTTCACGTGCGAGGTAGGGGTTGTCTCCCTTCAGGATATGGCCACAAGCAAAACGGTCACCGTCTTTACTATTCACAAATGCGTGTCTAACATGGCCAATGACAGCGAACGGAAAATAGAAGTTTGAATGCTCGCGTGGCCGAAGTGTTGGCTCTGCACAATTTGGTGGAATATTGATGCATGATAAGGCAGACATAGTTAGGACCTGTGAGATAACGTGTACAACTCGCAGGAGCAAATAGATCACCACCGCCTTGTGAGAGTGATGCAGAAAGGAGTGACGAGGGGCTCTGGCAGATACTCGACGCTCAGAGGAAAGGCAAGACGGACGGGCAATCAGAATGATGCTGGCACAATTGGTACTAGAACTCAGCGGTAGCTGCTAAAAAGGACTGGGCGCTTATGGGAATTCGCTGAGTACTGTAATGTTGGTTCTAGAATCAGCTTAACGCAAGAGTTGTTCCAAGGTCGTTGATTGGAAGGGAAAGACTTCGAATGAACCAGTTAACGAAACAATTTAGGCACAAGGTAATGGGCTCGGTCTAACGATTTGAGAATGTTGCATCCCCGTGTTTAGATCAACATGTTTCATTTGGGGAAGAATCGCTAACGGAACAGATAAGAACACGGGGCTCACATACTGTAGACGTTGTTCTGAATCCACAGTCAGAAACAAAAAAATCCTAACCTGTACAGTTCGTGGCGACAGCACTAACCATGCAGACCTTTATCATCAGGCTCAACGGTCCCCACATCCCCTTCAACCCTACCCACATGTAGTTTTGCCTACACCACAAAAATGACAAATGTAGACTGTAATGACAGTTGTTTATTATTATTACTTTATGTGGTAATGTAATCAATTACATGTCAGCTGTCTTAACTTTCCATATATTTCTATTCTTCTTCTTCTTTTTCTTCTTTTGTTTTTCAAGTCCAAACCCGAGTGGATCTGTCACAGTTACGATTGTTTGGACATGTAAGCAGAATGGGAGAAAATCAGCCACCATGGCAAGCATGGGAGGCTAAGAACCAGGGAACCAGACCTCCGGGACGACCCAGGGTGCGCTGGGAAGACAACATCCGACAGTCCCTAACTGACAGAGGACTGGAATGGAACAATCCCAGAAAGAAAACTGCTGATAGAAACGCCTGGCGATCTCTCTCTGGCCAACCTCTACACCCCAAGGTAGAAGAGGATCGATTAAGTTACATCCGTTCTATCACATTCACTTTACAGAACATGTCAAAGCACATTTTAGCCTGGATCAGTCTGGGAATCCTGTTCAGTTTGAAAGAAAAGATCCTTCATGTGGATTCAAACACATGATCACCGGTATAAGAAGTGGCGGTGTAATAAAAAGCAATAATTTAGAAACAGTTATGGTCAACGACCAGGTGTAGTACCTCGACTCTCACCTGTGGGTCAAAAGTTGTGGGTTCAAATCCTTATGGTGTTAGGCTTATTTTGTCAAGAATGACCTTAGCGGTCAGATCGACTCAGCCTTAAATAAATACATAGTACTCTCAAAAGTCATGGAAAGTAAAAGCGGCCTTCGTGATGCTGACCACATCCCCCACCGTGTGCTGATTGGTCTATACAATTTGTAGGCATAGCCCTATATGCCCAAAATATCATAAGGCGTTGAAAATGGTGCTTCACTTTTATGGTCAACAATATATTGCACAGAAAGAATCTACAGAGTGACAATCTTTGTTTTTTTCTTTCTGAGCTTATAAAGACAGATTCAGCTCATTTTCTGTCATTCATAGATTCGTTTTGTTAAATTTAAAAATCTGTACCTTTGGTATTCTTTGTTTTCCAGCAGTACAAATTGTGGCAAATTGTGGGAACGACACCTTGTACTAGATTCATCGAGAAACAGCAGATCAAGTGGTTTGGCTATCTCATTAGAATGCAGCAAGATCGAATACAAGCGATACATCTCAGAAGATCAGCTACACGAGTAAGAAGACGGCAGCCGAAAAAATGGATCGACAACATTAAAGACACTCTACGCCTTCACGGCATGACAATAGCCAGTGGAAGCCAACGTGCACTGGATCGCAAATTATTCCTCCCCATGACGCTAAACGGCAGAAGTGGTTATGATGATGATGATTGTGATGATAACGTGTCACGCTCAAGGTTGAATGTTCATCTACAATTTTGTTTTTAATTATCTTAAATAAATATATTTATATAAAAATGTCTCTCAAATTTAACGTAGCAATGTATTCCTTTTTTAATTGCTTCTTCCGGTGTCATCATTTTAGCTGCATTACATTAATTTTCTCTTCCTGTGTTAAAATTATGACTAGTCCTAAAGGGCATACAGTTATTAATTTGTATTTATAAATGGCCAAAGAAGTTTCTTATTCGTATGTGTTCACCCTGAAAAGGTTGGTTGTCACCCTTTATTCTGGTTTAAATCTAGACAACGACATTTGCACCCTTCTGT